CAAAGTGCAAATATGCCCCTGAGGGAATGGGAAAAGAATTCGTCCAAATTAAAGGACAAAATAAGTAAGATTACCCCGGGATGAAGTGCCAAATTAGTAATGTATTGGGTTTAACTTGGGGTACTGAGAGAGATTTGTTAAAAGCTAAAACCCAATAAACAGTTGCCCAATAAATTAACTAAGGAGTTTTGCTTTTGAATTTTTTAATTTTTATCCCTAGGTTTGGTCCCCCAAATTTTAAAGAGGGAAATTAAATACAGGAAGTTTTGGGAAATTAAATGTGCTTGGGATAAATTCTCCCCGGGGAATTCATTTAAAAGGGGGGATTTTTTGGGATTTTGGGGGAAAATTTCAATGTTGGATCCCCGGCCAGGTGGCCAATCCCAAAAGGGAAAAAATGTATCCACTTTTTGTGAGCTTAAAAATTGGCATATGGAGCAGTTGCTTTCCTTTAATGTAAAAAGTGTTTTTCTCTGTTATGTCTAAGGGGTAAAATGTCTCCCATTAAATCCTACCTTACCTCGTTGGAAATTAAACCCCTTTATGTGGGGGTCAAATTACAATTATATAAAAAATAAGTTTTAGGGGATAAATAGCTACACTGTATTTGGGCTGATAATAGGTTCCTTACAAGGATTCTAATGGAAAAAGTAAAATTGTGTACGTCAAAAAAAGCGTAGCTGAAAATTAATCAGATGTAAGAGAAATTTTAAAATTTGGGTCAGTATGTTTAAAATTTTTTTCATTACCAGGTGAGGGGAATCCAGTGATTTCTTGTCTCGAGTTTACGTTTATGCTAAATTTGTAAATATTTTTATCATGGGTTTAAAGGACCCAAAGGGTTGGTAAATAAACTAATTGGGGGTAAAAAGGAGTATATTGCTCCTGTTGAAATTTGTGAAACCCCCTCCATAGTTTTTCCTCCTTAGCCATTTGGGTTTAAAAAAGGTTTTTTTTTACCCAAATAATCAAAAGAATAAGTTGGTGTTTAAATTTTAAAAAAGATGAATTTTCAATAAGTTTTCAATCCTCTTGGGTATTGGATAAGAGGACAGAGAAATCTTTGGGAAAAGAGATTAAATTTATGATGAAAGAAAAATTGTGAAAGGTTCCATAATAGAGAAATTGGGGCTGATTTAGAGAACAATGTATTTGGTGCAGAGGGAGGTTACAAAAGCTGAATTGGGTGATTTGTAAACACCCTATCTTACTCCCAAAATCATCATCTAAAAAATTTGATGATGGTGGGGTACAAAATACCTTAAATTGTATTAGGGAAACTTTTTGGGTTCAACAAGGACAGCAAAGTGTAAAAAACGTGATTAAAAACTTTGTAAAATGTCACCCTGTGAGCCAGATCCTATAGTACCCCCGGGCCCCACCCTTGCTAAAGGAAAATGGACAATTAGTGAAACCATTTGAGTAAAAGGTGTTTTGACTTAATGTCCAAAAATTTTAAAGGTATTAGATGGGGTTCCAATGAAAGTGTATGTTTTTTTGTCCCCTGTATGGTACTAAGAGTTCATTTGAAGTGGCACAGGGCTTGTCTGCAGAACGTTTTTTTACAGTGTTTCTAAAATTTGCAGTGGGGATCCTGTTTGAGATTGATGATTTCGGATAAGCCAAAAAAATTTTGTAGCAGGTGCTCAACATTTTATAGTTAAAAATAGTAATGAGTCCAATCTCTGTAAACCCCCGGAGGGTTTTTACCTGGAAAAATTTTTACTTTAGAGCCCCTTTGGGGGGGGGTACGAAAAAACTTTAGGCCAGGAAAGAGGTGTCCTGTAAAGTATACACCCGAAGAAATTAATTTGGGGAAAAATTCCCTACAGGGTTTTTAGTGGAGGGGGAAACGGATAAATAATGGCCCCTTTCGTACATATGATACACTGAGACAGAGTATTAACCCGTCTACCTTTAAAAGTGGAAGAAATTTGGAAGCTGCCCCGTCTATAGAGATAATTGGGAGAAATGATAAGATTAAATGAGCGGCAGTGTTGTGTGATAAATTTTTAAAAGTTTAAAATAAAAATAAGATCATTGGTCTAATGTGTGCATAAGGAATATCTTCTTACACTACGTGAACATTTATGGTGCGCAGAGGCAGTAAATTGAAAAAATTAACCGGGGACATTTTGGTTATGATCGAACAACATCGAAAACGTGGCCTCTGGGCAAAGTATTGACATTGTACCCCGGTGCCAAGGTGTTGTTGGTATTTCAAAGTGTTGTGTTGTGGCCAGGAAATTGATGCCCAAATTAATAAAATTTATTCCCCGGAATTAAATGGTGTTCAATCAAAGTAAATGAAAATCTGAGGGAAAGTGAACCCGAGTGATTGGAAGATAATGCTGACCAAATGATGCCGGAAGATGAAATGTAGTAAGAGGGTTGGGAACAGCCATAAGCCAGAAAACCTGGAATCGTCTCCCAAAGGAAGGATAATTTGAGTCGTTTAGCAGAACTGGTCGCCCCATGTGGAAAATAATGTATTTTCCAGAAAAAATACGGTATTTTTTTTGTAAAATTGGTGTAAAACTGTATTTAATAAAAAATTTAGTCATAAAAAAAAGGGGCCGCCCGCCGAAGGGACTTGCCATTGTTTTTAAAAAAACCCAAAAAATTTAAATAAAAAATTTTTACTCAGATTAAAATTTACCCTCTAAATAGACCAAAAATTTTTATTTTGCATTCCTCTTAAAAAAATATTTAAAAATACACGACATCCCAAACCTCAAAACACAATTTTTATAAATTCCCTACCATTTTTTTAAATTTAACAATTTTCAAAACACCTTACCCACAAATTTAGTATTTTTTGATTTCTCCTTCTTTTATTGTGTATCTATAATAATTTTTTTTAATTTTAATTCGTCCCAAAATTTTTTTCCGTTTTTTAATCTTTCATTTTTTAAAACCCCCAACAACGGGAAAAATTTATATCAAAAAATTTTTTTTCCCCCCCCCCAATTCACTTTTTGTAACGTTAAAAATTTTTTGACATTTTTGATAAACTATTTAGTTAATTAATAAATTAATTTTCCACAATTTTAAAAGGAAAATTTTTGTTTCCCCCAAAATCTTACCAACCTAAAAACTTTGGGGGGATTACAAAAACATTAAAAGAATATACATGCTATGTTTAAACCCCTTTTTTTCTTATTTAAAAAAAGGGGTCCTTGGCGGGTAAGCAGGTTTTCAATTGATTTAATCCTGTTTACTAGATTTTAAACTTTAAACAAAATAATAAAACCCGTTTTTTGCGTATTTTGCAGCTTTAAAAACACCTACAACTGTTCGTTTTTAACACTGCTTTGCATTTAAAAAAAAAAAACACTTGAAGGGAGACACGCTTTTAAAAAGGGTTTGCAGCTTAAAAAAAAACCCGCATTGGGACTTTTTAACATGCTTTACAGCTTTTAAAAAAAACACCTGCAGTGGAGATTTTTAACTGCTTTGCAGTCTTAAAAACCCTGCGTGGTGACCGTTTTTAAAATGCTTTGCGGGTCTTAAAAAAAACTGCAGTGGGGATCATTTTACAGCTTTGCGTTCTTAAAAACACCGCATGGTGCTCAATTTAACATCTTTTCGTCTTAAAAAAAAACGTAGTGGTGATCGTTTTAACATGATTTGCACCTCTTAAAAAACCCTGCAGTGGTGCCGTTTTAACATGCTTTGCAGCTGAAAAAAAAACACCTCATTGCAAAAATCGTTTTACGCATTTTTACGTTTTTTAAAAAAAAAATGCAGTGGAGACAAATCGCCTCAAGATTTAAGCTTTAGATAAAAAAGGCCCCCGTCTTCAGTCAAAAAAAAAAGGGATGAAAATTGTATGCAGTAACAGTAAGATAGGGTGCCATTATCTGAAAAGTTCATTTTTTGTTTTTTCCTTTTCCCTTTTGGTTATTCCTTTGTGGTTCAAATTCCTTCATCCTGGAGATAGCTGCCCCAGACCCCTCCTAAGGTTTTAACAATGGAACTCAAGGGGTTTACGTAATTATTTAATGACAGTATCGCTAATTATATCTGCGGTCCTTCTGGTCGGTGCTTTTTTTTTTAAATAAAAACCCTAATAGAAGAAGTTTTAGTAATAAAAAGTGCTTTTTAAAATTTTATAACACTACACGAGAGATTAAACATCTTGGTTAAATATAACAAGCTGAAGACTTTAACATGTGTATAATGGTATCTTCGTTATTAGTCGGTTTTTCCCAACCCTGGGCCTTATCAAAACATCATAAATGTGGGACAATAAGAAGGGGGTGAAATGGGAAAAGGGTAACAGTCCCTTTACCCAGTGTATGAACACGTGCTAGGCAGGGACTGATTACCAATTGCTTCCTTAGTATTTGTTTTTTTTTCCTTTATTTTTGGGAAAATAAATGGTTTAATACCAATACGATGGGTAAAAGACGCAAATGGAAAAAATGCGATCACTCATTGGGAACGTTTGCCCCCAAAAAGTGGGCTTTTAAAAGTCAAACATTGACTTTAAAGAAAAACCCCGTGTGTGGGTGAAACGTTTTCAACAATGGATTGCATTATACGCATTTTTGTTCCTTTGACCCCATTGTATATGAACACTGGTCGGAGAAACGTCTACAGAAGTTGTAACCCTTTAGTGATTAAGTCTGGCCTCGTGCAATTGAATATTACATTCAGATCTGACACTATTTGCAGTAAGTAATGAAGGTAGGGAGTCAAACACACTTCAGTCGTAGCCTCTGTAAAGTGAAGAGCAGTGAGGATGAGAGTGAGTTATGCACCCTCCCCATGCCATGATAAAATGCATGATCACCGTAGATTGCTGGGAAACGTCTATAAATATCCTAATACCGCATTTGAGTTATAGCAGGTACACGGGTTTGAATGGCTGGGTGTGAGCAAGACCTACCTAGCATGGGCCAGTAGGCTTCTTTTTGCTTTAAGTGCTTCTACTACTAGAGGTCATTGGTTCATCCGTCCCACCAGAGCTTCTTTGCTCTCCTTCCCTTTCTCACCTCCTTGTTCATCTGTGCCACCAGAGCGTCCACCTCCTTCTGCATAGGCTTCTTCCCACCGTTTATTTTAGCCATCTTCTTCAAGATCTTCATGGCCTCCTTGTCACGCCCCTGCATCATGAGCCAGCGGGGTGACTCTGGCAGTAACCTGGCAACAGGTGATCTTATTGATAAATTGAAAATAACAGTTTACCTTTCCAGCTATAAATACATCTATATCACTAGTAAATCGAAAGTACATTTGGAATCTTACACATTTAATATACGTAAACTATATTATTTATCACATTAATGCAATTTTTTAATTAAATGTAAATAAGGCATGGAAGTTCATAAATGCAGTGTATGTTCATAAAAATTTTTACAAATTCTCTTATTTGATTATAACTGGGGACGCCCTTGGAGTAATGTAACAATGTTATTTCGTTGACAAAAATAAATTTTTAAGGTGAACCCTCTAATCAGTGAAGTCTAATTAACCAGTGAACCCTTTAACCAGTGAACACTAATTAATGAACTAATTGTTCATGAACTGATTGTTCATTATTTCTCAGTAATTAAAATTATTTTCATGATGGCTGTTCTGGAGACACTACTGGACACAAAGAACATTGTAACATAAAACAGTACAGTGAGGTTGTGAGAAGGAAAAAGTGAGAGTGAAGGTGAGTGGGTGGGCATGAGTGTGTGTGTGTGTGTGTGTGTGTGTGTGTGTGTGTGTGTGTGTGTGTGTGTGTGTGTGTGTGTGTGGTGTGTGTGTGTGTGTGTGTGTGTGTGTACGTACGTACTCACCTATTTGTGGTTGTAGGGGTCGATTCACAGTTCCTGGTCCCGCCTCTTCACTGATCGCTACTGGGTCCTCTCTCTCCCTGTTCCATGAGCTTTATCATACCTCGTCTTAAAGCTATGTATGGTTCCTGCCTCCACTACGTCACTTGCCAGACTATTCCACTCCCTGACAACTCTATGGTTGAAAAAAAATACTTCCCTACGTCTCTTTGACTCATCTGAGTCCTCAACTTCCAATTGTGACCTCTTGTTTCTGTGTCCCATCTCTAGAACATCCTGTCTCTGTCCACCCTGTCAATTTATCGCAGTATTTTGTATGTCGTTATCATGTCCCCCCTAACCCTCCTGTCATCCGGTGCCGTCAGGCCGAATTCCCTTAACCTTTCTTCGTAGGACAATCCCCTTAGCTCTGACACTACTCTTGTTGCAAACCTCTGCACATTTTCTAATTTCTTGACGTGCTTGACCAGGTGTGGGTTCCAAACTGGTGCTGCATACTCCAGTATGGGCCTTACTGAGGTATCGGAATGCTATTATCAGGTTTGCCAGGTGCCTATATGCTGCAGCAGTTATCTGGTTGATGTGTGCCTCAGGAGATGTGCTCGGTATTATACTCACCCCAAGATCCTTTTCCTTTGGCCACCTAGCCTGTATTCTGTCTGCGGTATTCTTTGCCCTTCCCCGATCTTCATGACTTTGCATTTGGCAGGGTTAAATTCAAGGCGCCAGTTGCTGGACCAGGCTTGCAACCTGTCCAGATCTTTTTGTAGCCCTGCCTGATCCTCATCCGATTTAATTCTTCTCATTAACTTCACATCATCTGCAAACAGGGGCACTTCTGAGTCAATCCCTTCCATCATATCATTCACATATACCAAAAACAGCACTCGTCCCAGGACTGAACCCTGTCGAAACCCACTGGTCACAATCGCCCACTCTGACACCTCGTCACGGACCACGACTCGTTGTTGCCTCCCTATCAGGTACTCCCTGATCCATTGCAGTGCCCTTCCTGTTATACATGCCTGGTCCTCCAGCTTTTGTACTAATCTCTTGTGAGGAACTATGTCGAAGGCCTTGCACTCCAAGAAAATGCAATCTACTCACTCCTCTCTCTCGTGTCTTACTTCCGTTACCTTGTCGTAAAACTCCAGTAGGTTTGTGACACAAGACTTTCCTTCCCTGAAACCATGCTGTTTGTCGTTTACAGCTTATTCCGTTCAAGGTGCTCCACCACTCTCCTCCTGATAATCTTCTCCATGACTTTTCATACTACACACGTCAGTGACACTAGTCTGTAGTTTAGTGCCTCGTATCTGTCGCCTTTCCTAAAAATGGGGACTACTTTTGCCGTCTTCCATACCTCAGGTAGTTGCCTAGATTCAGTGGATGTGTGAAAATTGTTGTTAGTGGCACACACAGCATCTCTGCTTCCTCTCTAAGGACCCAAGGAGAGACGTCCGATCCTACCACCTTTGAGATATCAATTTTATTTAACAGCTTCTTCACTTCCTCGTCGGTTGTGTGTACTTCATCTAGCACTTGTTGATGTATGCCTTGTTGGTGTACCCCTCTGTTCTGACTTCCCGGAGTCCTTTCTGTCTCCACTGTAAATATTTAAATCTTGTTGAGCTCCTCACATACTTCTTGGTCATTTCTTATGAGCTCCCCACCTTCCTTCCTCAGCCTGATTACCTGCTCCTTGACTGTTGTCTTCCTCCTGATGTGGCTATACAACAGCATGGGTCAGACTTGACTTTCGATGCAATGCCATTTTCGTACTGCTGCTGGGCCTTCCTCCTTATCTGCGCATACTCGTTTCTAGCTTTTCGACTAATCTCTATTTTCCTGGGTCCTTTGTCTTCTGTACTTTTTCTATTCTCTAGTTCAGTTAGTTTTTTCCTCCCTGCACCTTTGGGCAAACCAAGGGCTCGTTCTGGTCTTCCCATTTATTTCTGTTGCTCTTTGGAATAAACCTCTCCTCTGCCTCCTTGCATTTTGTTGTCATGTAGTCCATCATTTCATGTGTGTGTACTCACCTACTCATCTAGTTGTGGTTGCGAGGGTCGAGTCACAGCAGCTCCTGGCCCTGCCTCTTCAGCTGGCCGCTACTCAGTCACTCTTCCTGCTCCATGAGCTTTATCATACCTCTTCTTAAAGCTTTGTATGGATCCTGCCTCCACTACATCACTACCCAGGCTATTCCATTTCCTGACAACTCTGTGACTGAAGAAATACTTCCTAACATCCCTGTGATTCATCTGAGTCTTCAACTTCCAACTGTGACCCTTTGTTCCTGTGTCCCATCTCTGGAACATTCTGTCTTTGTCCACCTTGTCTATACCTCTCAATATTTTATATGTTATTATCATATCCCCCTATCTCTCCTGTCTTCCAGTGTCGTCAGGTTGATTTCCCTTAACCTCTCCTTGTAGGACATACCCCTTAGCTCTGGGACTAGTCTTGTTGCAAACCTCTGCACTTTCTATAGATTCCTTACATGCTTGGCTAGGTTAGGGTTCCAAACTGACACTGCATATTCCAATATGGGTCTAATGTACACAGTGTACAGGGTCCTGAATGAGTACTTATTTAGAAGTCGGATTCTAGTCCTTCCGTCATGTCGTTCACAAATACCAGAAACAGCACCGGTCCTAGGACTGATCCCTATGGCACCCCGCTCGTTACAGGCGCCCACTCTGACGCCTCCCCATGTACCATGACTCGCTGTTGTCTTCCTGACATGTTATCCCTGATCCATTGTAGTGCCTTCCTTCCCTGTTATCCCTGCCTGGTCCTCCAGCTTCTGCACTAATCTCTTGTGTGGAACTGTGTCAAACGCCTTCTTACAGTCCGAGAAAATGCAATCTACCCACTCCTCTCTCTCTTGTCTTACAGCCGTCACCCTGTCATAGAACCCCAGTAGGTTTGTGACACAGGATTTCCCATCCCTGAAACCATGATGGCTGTCGTTGATAAGCTCATTTCTTTCGAGGTGCTCCACCACTCTTCTGATAATTTTCTCCATGACCTTGCATACTGTGCATGTCAGTGACACTGGTCTGTAGTTTAATGCTTCATGTCTGTCTCCTTTTTTAAAAATTGGAACTACATTTACTGTCTTCCATACTTCCGGTAGTTGTCCTGTTTCAATAGACGTGTTGAAAATAGTTGTTAGTGGTACACAAAGTGCCTGTGCTCCCTCTCTCAGGACCCGTAGAGAGATGTTATCCGGCCCTATCACTTTTGAGGTATCTAGCTCGCTTAAGAGCCTCTTCACTTCTTCCTTGGTTGTATGTATTGTGTGCATCACTTGATGGTGTACCCCACCTCTCTGCCTTTCTGGGGGTTCTTCTGTCTCCTCTGTGAACACTTCTTTGAATCTCATGTTGAGCTCCTCACATCACGGTCGTTTTTTGTGACCTCCCCTCCTTCCTTCCTCAGCCTCATTACCTGGTCCTTGACTGTTGTTTTCCTCCTGATGTGGCTGTACAACAGCTTTGGGTCAGATTTGGCTTTCGCTGCTATGTCATTCTCATATTGCCTTTATGCCTCCCATCTTACCTGTGCATATTCATTTCTGGCTCCACAACTGGTCTCCTTATTCTCCTGGGTCCTTTGCCTTCTATACTTCTTCCATTCCCTAACACATTTGGTTTTGGCCTCCATGCACCTTTGGGTGAAACACAGGCTCATCCTGGCTTTTTCATTATTCCTGTTACTCTTGGGTACAAACCTCTCCTCAGCTTCCTTGCATATTGTTGTCACATATTCCATCACCTCGTCCACTGACTTCCCTGCCAGTTCTCTGTCCCACTGAACCCCATTCAGGAAGTTCTTCATGCTTGCGTAGTCCCCTTTCTTGTAGTTTGGCTTCGCTTATCTGGCTCTGCCTGCTTCCCCCTCCACTTGTAACTCTACTATGTATTTGAAGCTTAAAACCACATGATCACTCTGGTAGTGTCCCTTATGTGTTGGTACATGAGGTTTCCCAGCACCACCTCCATCATCTTAGCCCTCCACGTTTCTTGACCCCCCATGTGGCTCCAAGTTTTCCCAATCGATTTCCTTGTGGTTGAAGTCACCCATTATCAGTAGCTTTGCCCTGTTCACATGAGCCCTTCTGGTCACCTCAGCCAGTGTGTCAACCATTGCTCTATTACTCTCATCATACTTTTGTCTTAGCCTCCTGCTGTTCTGTGGTGGGTTATACATCACTGCAATCATCACCTTGGGACCTCCAGACTGAAGCATTAGTACTATGAAGCCTCTTGCTTCTCCTCTGACTTCTCTCTCCAGCTCATCAAAATCCCATCGGTTTTTGATCAGCAGTGCCACTTTTACACCCCCTCTGTTCCCTCTGTCTTTCGTCAGGATCTGATATCCCATTGGAAAGATGGCATCTGTTATCATCCCTGTAAGCTTGGTTTCTGTGAGAGCTATGATGTCCGGTGATTCCTCTTTGACTCTTTCGTGTCACTCCTCCCACTTGTTATTCCATCAGTGTTGGTGTACCATACCTTCAGTTTCCTCTCCAACACTATGTTTGGGGGGTCTGTGAGGGTGGGGGACCTGGCAGTATACTGCAGGGTTCTACAGCATAGTGTGGGTTGGGGGCTGTGAGTGTGGATTGTGGTGGGCTTCTGGGGGTGGTTCTGTGTGTGCTTGCACTTTATGCTCTGCCCTGCTCTGGTTTTCCTCTGCTGATTCTGTCCTTGTCTCTCCTCCTAGCTCCTTTCGGTTTGTGTCCTCTTCCTCAGCTGCTGTCATTCTGTTTTTGTTCTGTCTTGGTCTAGGAACACCCTCTTATATTCACCCAAGTCCTTCAACCATGGTTTCTCTTGGAGGATCCTCTTACGCATTGTTTCTGTCCTGAAAATCAGCTTGATCGGTAGTTTTCTTCCCTTCAAGTACCCCCCTTCCCTATTATCTGAAAATTTACAATTTCAGACATTTCCTCTTCACCTATTTCTTTGGTGATGTTCTCAATCTCCTATCTTTCTGCCTGCTGTCTTTCAGTGTGTGTCCTTCTCTCACTCTCCTGAAGCCCATGAATAAACACTGACTTCGACCTCTCCTCCTCCCATTGCCTTTCCCTCTGTCTCTGGTTCCTGTCTGTACATGGCCATTCTCTCCCTTATTTTTTTTCCTCTAGCTCTTGGTGGCATGGTCGGGCCTCTGCATATGACCTGTCCCTCTCACCACCTGCACCCAGCTGCTCTCCCCCTTCATACCTTGGCCCTGCTTGGTGGACTGATAGCGCCTTAAGGTAAGTTATGTCTCCTTCCTTCCCATTGAGCCCCTCGTTCAGTACGGGTGTACCAGCTTCAGTTGCTGTGCCTCCTCTGGTCAATACCCCTGTAGCTCGCTTCAGCCTATTTACCTCGTCTTCTAGGACCCTTATCCTGGCTACTGCAGCTTCGACTTGGGATCCCCAATTCTTCTCTTCCTCCAACCTCTTTTTCAATTTCACAGAAAGCTATGTCTCCATTTTCGCAGACAGCTCTCCTAGTGTGTGTGTGTGTGTGTGTGTGTGTGTGTGTGTGTGTGTGTGTGTGTGTGTGTGTGTACACAGACCCAGAGCCCTCGTGGAAGACTCACCAGTAGTTGAGAAGGAGTAGAACACAAGGAACAGAGATACAGAGCTCCAGTTGACGCCACTCCCTGACGAAGTAAGCGATGCCCGGCAGCAGCATGAAGCCCAAGCTGAAGCAGCTCTGGTATAGCATGCCCATGACGGTGCGGCCCTCAGCACCCACTACCTCCATCACTGTTGTGGCACACACCCAGAAACAATGTAGTTAAGAGAGCAGTGGAAAAAAGCTATTTGAGAAGGTGGGAAGAGAGGTAAAACGACGTGAGGTTATAACTTGAAATATAGGCTTGTAGCTTGATATATAAGTTTACAGCTTGTAATATATATATATATATATATATATATATATATATATATATATAATATATATATATATATATATATATATATATATATATATATATATATATATATATATATGTCGTGCCGAATAGGCAGAACTTGCGATCTTGGCTTAAATAGCAACGTTCATCTTGCCATATAGGACAAGTGAAAATTTGTGTATGCAATAATTTCGCCAAAATCATTCTGAAGCTAACGAAAAAAATATATTTCACTATGTTTGTTTAGTATTAAATTATTGTAAACAAATCTAAAATATATTTAGTTGGGTTAGGCTAAAATAATTTTTTCTTATTATAATGATAGGTAAGTTTTCTAAGATTCTTTTGGAGCAAAATTAAAAATTTTTACATTAACAATAATGAAAAAAATATATCTTTAAACGTATAAGAGAAAATTTTAGAAAGGACATAATTTTAAATGAGTTCTTGCTAATTGACCAGTTTTACATATTCGGCACGACATATATATATATATATATATATATATATATATATATATATATATATATATATATATAAAGTTAATAGCTTGAAATGTAGGCTTAAGCCTATAGCTTGAAATATAGGCTTATAGCTTGAACCTGAGGCTTATATCTTTAAAAGCGGGGGTGCTGACTCACAGATAACAAAGTTTGGAAGGAAGATTCCGGAGTTGAAGAAACCCATGAAGAAACGGAGGAGTATAAAGGGCACATAGTGGGTCATGAAGGACACGCACAGGGACGACACTAATATCCCCACGGACGACACCAACGACACGGTGCGACGACCGTACCTGCAACACAAGTCATAAGTTGAAGATGGCACGACGGCCGTACCTGCAATACAAGTCATAAGGTCAACAATACAATGAAATAAAAGCAAACTTGTCATCTGGCGAACCTGGGGGGGGGGAGGAAGGTCGACACCTGGCGGACCTGGGGGGGGGGGAGGAAGGTCGACACCTGGCGGACCTGGGGGGGGGAGGAAGGTCGACACCTGGCGGACCTGGGGTTCTAGCCTTCATTCTATCTCTTCATCCGAGAAACTGTGACTATCTCCCCCCCCTCCCCGTTATCTTTAGGAACAAGCCTGACTGTCCCTTATTTCCAGGACACTGTAGAACCCCTGTAATGCTTCCCCATGAATATAATAATAATAATAATAATAATAACAGTAATAAATAATGATAAAAATTATGGTGGAGCTTACCTATCTGAGAGCTCACTGAGCACCACAGCTCCTGCGAACACGCCAGCCATGAACACTGACTGTACCGTAGATGCAAGATACCGTCTATCACACACCAGATCCCACTGTGGAGGGAGATAGGTGTTAATACCAAGTACTTCTGTGGAGATAGGTACCTTTGTGAAGAGAGACATAAAACTACCTAGCTAGCGCTATTAGACAGTGGACCATGAAGGTTACAATAAGAACCTTCCAGGAGAGATTAGAATGGGACAAGAGATAAAGGATTTTGTGAAAGAATCTCCCGCTAACATGACCAGCAGCGAAATTTAATTCTCGTCCCTTCAATACCACTGTCAGTGAGTCAAGATTGATGAACGATTGTAGAAACGTCAGCGAGTGGGTGAAAGTGGAACTTGGGGGTAAAACATCCTTAGAACTACCAAAACAACCCATGATATTTGTTAAGATGTGCAGTGCCAAGTTAACACCCATACTTTTCCATGTATCTGTAGAAAGCTGGATAAATTGTTCTGTAAACAGAAGGATGAATGGATTAGTAGATAGAAACAAACAGGACAGGGTCTTACCTCCTCCACAACAGTGGTCTTGTACGTGGAGTGGTCATAATGCCAGTGGTTACAGGTTGTGGTGGAGACGTTGGTGGGCAGGTCTGGGAGGGTGTCCCCACTGAAGGCACCACTAGCCGCCAATTCTTTCCAGTTCCTATCGTAGTAACTGCAGGAAGAATACCTTCCTACCACGCCCGCCTCGCCCTCTGCCTCCCTGAAGAAGGAGTGCATAAAAGTTGTTTTAAAAGATGATCCCTAAAGGGAAGCTCCTTGATGCTGGTAAGGGGCTCTTGATCTAGGAAATTGGATCTGTGCTCCGGTTCCCTGAATTGAGCCTGAATACCTCCCATCCCCCCGACCTACATGCGCTGTATAATCCTACGGGTTTAGTGCTTCCCCATAAAAATAATTTAAAAGATGAGCCAGATTTCTTTTTTGTATTCCACGTATTATTGTCCTAGGTAATTATTATATATTTCCAAAATGTGTTAAAAATATACGGGTGATGACAGCCTCCACTTCCGAGCGGGAAGTGGAGGCTGTCATCTTCGAAGAGAATCAAGCCTCTATCATTTCACACACACACACACACACACACACACACACACACACACACACACACACACACACACACACACACACACACACACACACACACATTAAACAGGTGTGAGTAAGCTCATTATTATTATTATTATTATAATCAAGGGGAAGCGCTAAACCCGTAGGATTATACAGCGCCTGTGGGGGGGATGGAAGGTATTCAGGGGTATTTCAGGGAACTGGAGCACAGATCCAGTTCCCTAGATCAAGAGCCCCTCACCAGCATCAAGGAACCTTCCTTGAGGGAGGTGGGTAAGCTCAGCAGGTGTGTAGGTCTTAGTAACATGTACATGCGTCTCTCAAATGCGAAAATTGTACAATAGATATCAAAGACCAGGAATTCGTCTGACAGACCCATACAAACATATATATATAAATATTCAGAGGGGAGGGGGGTGACACCCACCATGGTATGGAGACGTTTCGCAAGTCAAATGTGATGTTGACACCATCGAGGCCTGGCACCTGGCACCAGTGGTCAGGTGTGGCAGACAAGAACGCTGCAGGAGACAACACAAAAGTATCAGCTGATCATCTGTGCAGCAATCTCACTTAAAAAATATTTATCATGCACTGTTTTTGGAGGACAAGAACAGACGTTTCTTGCCATTATTATTATTATGATTATTGTTATTATATTTTTATTATTTATAATAATTATTTACAATTATTATTATAAGTTCCAATTGCTATTATTATTTGCAATTATTAATTATTATTATTTACAATTATTAGTTATTATTATTTTATAATTATTTAATTATTAATTATTATTTTATTATAATTATAATTATTATTTATAATTATAATTAATATTTATTATTATTATTATACGTATTATTATTATTATTATTATTATTATTATTATTATTATTATTATTATTATTGTTATTATTATTATCCTGGTTGTTTACTGGTTATTTCAGGAAAGCACTAAGGAAGCCTGGTCTGCAGCCAAGTTGCGGGGTTGGTGAACCCGCGAGGGTAAGAACAGAGAGAGAGAGAGAGAGAGCTCAGGAAGACATAACGTGGAGAAAGATAAGCGAGGACATTAATGTATATGCCAATGTTATGTTATCTACTGAGAACCACACTTACTATATATCCTGGGTCCGATATACCAGTGTACATTATATAATCGGATAAGCTGGAAATAGACCTGGAGGTGTGTCAGTGTCCCGGAGGTGTGATGATGTCAGTGTCCTGGTGGTGTGATGATGTCAATGTCCGGGAGTTGTGATGGTATCAGTGTCCCGGAGGAGTGATGTTGTCAATGTTCTGGTGATATACTCACTTAATTGTGGTTGCAGGGATCGAGACTCAGCTCCTGGCCCCACCTCTTCACTGAGTGCTACTAGGTCCTCCCTCTCCCTGCTCCATGAGCTTTATCATACCTCATCTTAAAGCTATGTATGTTTCCTGCCTCCACTACCTCGCTTGCTAGGCTATTCCACTTCCTGACTACTCTATGACTGAAGAAAAACTTCCTAACATCCCTTTGACTCATCTGGGTCTTCAACTTCCAATTGTGACCTCTTGTTTCTATGTCCCCTCTCTGGAACATCCAGTCTCTGTCCACCTTGTCTATTCCACGTAGTATTTTGTATGTTGTTATCATGTCTCCCCTAACCCTCCCCTCCTCCAGTGTCGTCAGGCCGATTTCCCTTAACCTTTCTTCGCAGGACATTCTCCTTGGCTCTGGAACTAAGCTTGTCGCAAACCAGTGCACTTCCTCTAATTTCTTGACGTGCTTGATCAAGTGTGGGTTCCAAACAGGTGCTGCATACTCTAGTATAGGCCTGACATACACGGTGTACAGTGTCTTGAACGATTCCTTACTAAGGTATCGGAACGCTATTCTCAGGTTTGCCAGGCGCCCATATGCTGCAGCAGTAATCTGGTTGATGTGTGCTTCCGGAGACGTGCTCGGTGTTATACTCACCCCAAGATCTTTCTCCTTGAGTGAGGTTTGCAGTCTTTGACCGTCTAGCCTATACTCCGTCTGCGGTCTTCTTTTCCCTTCCCCGATCTTCATGACTTTGCATTTGGCGGGGTTAAATTCGAGAAGCCAGTTGCTGGACCAGGTGATGGTGTCAGTGTCCAGGAGGTGTGACGACGTCAGTGTCCTGGTGGTGTGATGATGTCAATGCCCTGGAGGTGTGATGGTGTCAATGTCCTGGAGGTGTGATGGTGTCAATGTCCTGGAGGTGTAATGGTGTCAGTTTTCCCGGGAGGTGTGAGGGTGCCCAGTGTCCTGGAGGTGTGATGGTGTCAGTGTCCTGGAGGTGGGATGGTGTTAGTGTCCTGGAGGTGTGATGGTGTTAGCGTCCTGGTAGTGTGATGATGTCAATGTCCTGGAGGTGTGATGGTGTCAGTGTCCTGGAGGTGTGATGGTGTCAGTGTCCTGGAGGTGTGATGGTGTCAGTGTCCTGGAGGTGTGATGGTGTAAGTGTCCTGGTGGTGTGATGGTGTCAGTGTCCTGGTGATGTGATGATGTCAGTGTCCTGGTGGTGTGATTCTGTCAGTGTCTTGGTGGTGTGATGGTGTCAGTGTTCTGGTGGTGTGATGGTGTCAGTGTTCTGGTGGTGTGATGGTGTCAGTGTCCTGGAGGTGTGATGGTGTGAGTGTCCTGGTGGTGTGATGGTCTAAATATCCTGGTGGTGTGATGGTGTCAGTGTCCTGATGGTGTGATGGTGTCAGTGTCCTGGTGGTGTGATGGTGTCAGTGTCCTCGAGGTGTGATGGTGCCAGTGTCCTGGAGGTGTAATGGTGTTAGTGTCCTGGTGACGTAATATATCCAGGGCCCGATATACCAGTGTATATTATATAATCGGATAAGATGGAAATAGACCTGGAGGTGTGATGGTGTCAGTGTCCTGGAGGTGTGATGGTGTCAGTGTCCTAGTGGTGTGATGGTGTCAGTGTCCTGGTGGTGTGATGGTGTCAGTGTCCTGGAGGTGTGATGGTGTAAGTGTCCTGGTGGTGTGATGGTGTCAGTGTCCTTGAGGTGTGAAGGTTTCAGTATTCTGGTGGTGTGATGGTCTAAATGTCCTGGTGGTGTGATGGTGTCAGTGTCCTGATGGTGTGATGGTGTCAGTGTCCTGGTGGTGTGATGGTGTCAGTGTCCTTGAGGTGTCATGTTGTCAGTATCCTGGAGGTGTGATTGTGTCAGTGTCCTGGTGGTGTGATGATGTCAGTGTCCTGGTGGTGTGAAGGTGTCAGTGTCCTGGTGGTGTGATGTCAGTGTCCTGGTGGTGTGATGGTGTCAATGTCCTGGTGGTGTGATGGTGTCAGTGTCCTGGAGGTGTGATTGTGCCAGATACCAATACAAATTAGGTCAGAAGCTACAGCTCAGGACCTGAGTTGCTCAGAGTGTCTATGAGACACACAACCTCAGTACAACGTCGAAAATCACTAAGTCTACACAATGTTCTGTGAACAGAGTCCCACAGAACCTACAACAATAATGAGACAGAGACGATCTTCCAACAAGGGCCAATAAAGGAGATTTAGGCACTTCTTGTCTGGAATACGTCCAACCACCAAGCGAGTCTAGACCTGGCTGAATACTTCAGGCGAGGTGTGATACACCCCCCCCCCCTCGATCACGTGAAAGCTCCGTGGACAGTTGCTGCTCAGCAACAGAGAAGCCGGCAGGGAAACGAGCAATGAGCGATAATTACAGCAGTTAGACAACCAAGACTTGAACTATGAGCACATAATAATACATGAATGTTACATCCTACCTAACAACATAACTAAGTCAAATAATAATATAAAGCAATATATTTACGATTTAGCTATTATCGTAAACATAAGCAATATAAACTTATAAGAAAAGGTAATACACATTATATACATATACATAATATACATCATATACATTGTGACCCATTCAGGGGTTGCAACAGTGTCAGTATTCTGGTGGTGTGATGGTCTAAATGTACTGGTGGTGTGATGGTGTCAGTGTCCTGGTAGTGTGATGATGTCAGTGTCCTGGTGGTGTGAAGGTGTCAGTGTCCTGGTAGTGTGATGATGTCAGTGTCCTGGTGGTGTGAAGGTGTCAGTGTCCTGGTAGTGTGATGATGTCAGTGTCCTGGTGGTGTGATGCTGTCAGTGTCCTGGTGGTGTGATGGTGTCAGTGTCCTGGAGGTGTGATTGTGCCAGTGTCCGGGTGATGTGATGGTGTCAGTGTCTTGGCGGTGTGATGGTGCCAGAGTCTTCGTAGTGTGGTGTCAGTGTCCTGGTGGTGTGATGATGTCAGTGTCCTGGTGGTGTGATGTTGTCAGTGTCGTGGAGGTGTGATGGTGTCAGTGTCCTGGTGGTGTGACGGTGTCAGTGTCCTGGTGGTGTGATGGTGTCAGTGTCCTGGTGGTGTGATTATGTCAGTGTCCTGGAGATGTGATGGTGTCAGTGTCCGGGAGGTGTGATGGTGTCAGCGTACTGGTGGTGTGATGGCGTCAGTGTCCTGGTGGTGTGATGGTGTCAGTGTCCTGGTGGTGTGAAGGTGTCAGTGTCCTGGTGGTGTGATTTCAGTGTCCTGGTGGTATGATGATATCAGTGTCCTGGTGGTGTGATGGTGTCAGTGTCCTGGTGGTGTGATGGTGTGAATGTCCTTGAGGTGTGACGGTGTCAGTATCCTGGAGGTGTGATGGTGTCAGTGTCCTGGAGGTGTGATGATGTCAGTGTCCTGGTGGTGTGATGATGTCAGTGTCCTGGTGGTGTGATGGTGTCAGTGTATTGGTGGTGTGATGGTGTCAGTGTCCTGGTGGTGTGTTGGTGTCTGTCCTGGTGGTGTGATGGTGTCAGTGCCCTGGAGGTGTGATGGTGCCAGTGTCCGGGTGGTGTGATGGTGTCAGTGTCCTGGCTGTGTGGTGTTGTCAGTGTCCTAGTGGTATGATGGTGTCAGTGTCCCAGTGGTGTGATGGTGTCAGTGTCCTTGAGGTGTGATGGTGTCAGTGTCCTGGAGGTGTGATGGTGTCAGTGTCCTGGAGGTGTGATGGTCCAGTGTCCGGGTTGTGTGATGGTGTCAGTGTCCTGGAGGTGTGATAGTGTCCGTGTCCTGGTGGTGTGATGATGTCAGTGTCCTGGTGGTGTGATGGTGTCAGTGTATTGGTGGTGTGATGGTGTCAGCGTCCTGGTGGTGTGATGATGTCAGTGTCCGGGTGGTTTGATGTTGTCAGTGTCCTGGTGGTGTGATGGTGTCAGTGTCCTGGTAGTGTGATGGTGTCAGTGTCCTGGTGGTGTCATTATGCCAGTGTCCTGGAGGTGTGATGGTGTCAGCGTCCTGGAGATGTGATGGTGTCAGTGTCCTGGTGGTGTTTACCTGGAGTTTACCTGGAGAGAGTTCCGGGGGTCAACGCCCACGCGGCCCGGTCTGTGACCAGGCCTCATGGTGGATCAGAGCCTGATCAACCAGGCTGTTACTGCTGGCTGCACGCAAACCAACGTAAGAGCCACAGCCCGGCTGGTCAGGAACCGACTTTAGGTGCTTGTCCAGT